GTCCTAATTCTATAGCAGCATCGGTGTAAAAAGTTATTTATGATATTATCCACTGAAAAAAAAAAGAAGTTTGGAAGACTACTCAATGCAAACGAGAGTCTTTTAGTAAAAAGAAGAACAGATAGTCTAATAGACCTGCATAGTACATAATTATTACCTAGTACTTCCACTAACATGCCATTTGAAAGTCAGAAGTCATTTGAAAGTAATTCAGTATCTTGAATTAATGTAATTCTGTTCATTCGTTTCAAATCGTTCATTTCTACAAAGACGAATAAGCAAGAAAAACCATGTTTTAAACTAACATAAATAACTGAACAACGGTGATAAAACTCGAAACTGTTCACATTACTGAATTCAAAATAATAAATCGTTTTACGTTAATTTTCGCCCAAAGGTGTGTAACAATATCATTATAATTAATGAAAGTAATATCTGATAGGCAACGAAGTATGTACTTTAATTTAATTACGATATTATGAAGCATTTCACTGACGCATGTTGTAAAATACAATCAGTATTCAAGTGTCGTTTTAAGTATATGTTATTAGATAAATACTGTTCTATACAATATACGATTCTTGACGTGAAAGAAAGGACTAGGATAGTTATGAAATTCAATGTTCATATCCAGTCAATATTAGTTCTAAGTTAGGTGTTTTCCATTAACGTACAACCCTAAAGCTAAACATCCCAAGAGGCCGACAATTTCCGACCACAGGACCATCGAGGCCAGAATGCTATAAATCCCAAAATGCTCCAATTTAACAACAATAATAAATTTTAGCAGACACTGTAAACGACTTATCTGCAGACTTAAATTCGTCCTACAAACCCAACATATTATCTTGTTTACGTTGACCAAAAGAATATGGAAGGCGAAAGGGCATAACACAACCTCAGAAGACCATTAATTCATATTTACTGCCACAATATTTATGAAACATAAAAGTTTATGGTGAAGTAGGAAGACTGCAGCAGTATTCTAACGCGCTCACTAACTTTTATGGGTCACCTTAAATGGTGCTTTAATTAGACATATAAGATTTACTGATGGTTAATAAGAACAGCAACGCAGCTTTTACCAATTACGGCCAAAAGTCTGGAAAAATAACGAAATCATCAATCACAATAAAGAAACGTGTTTTTATGTAATAAGAATGGCCATGGTATACTATTTGACGCTCTACTAATTACAAGTCACACTGGGGTCCTTATTAATGAGCTATTATTTCAGGTAATGAAGCGTGTGTTATTTTTAACAAAATTCTTATAATTCAATGTGCAAGTGCAAAACTTTTTACCTATTATATCTTTCTTAATTGTAATAAAATTCATGTACCATATTCTCTGAATGGATGTCCATGAAACGTGAATGGTTTCATGGACTTAAATCCCATTTATGTCATAAGTTTCCATATTAATGTTATTTAAGTACGGGCAGCTTTCTTCCTGCGTCGCATGTTTGACAGATTCGTAAACAGATGTTATTAATGTTAACATGTGTCGTGTTTCCGTGTGTAAGTTTCTGAAGAAGTTTGTGTAATAAAAGCTTATAAAGGAAACATATTTTAACAATACTCTGCTCTAGTTGGGAACGTTAAAGTATCAGTAATAACAAAATAATATAAAATGTTAAGCTCATTAAATTAATACCTTATACTTAAAATAAAAGACTAAGCCACGCCGTTAATTATCCCGTGAGCGGGACAGTATCAATATCTAAGAATCAGTACATTATAAGACTTTTTCAGACACTAATAAAATTAGGCGAAATATCAGGCGTCGAGCTGGGACAAGCAATTAGAGAGATATTCATAAAATATCCCTGCGCAAGAAAATCAATTTCACTGTATAAATCCTTGAATCAAAGCAATTATTTCGTTTTATAGCAAAATGAATGTTTATCCAGCTGTCTTCCTTTATCATTTATGAATGTTTTGTTGTCTTAAGAAATATCAGGAAGCTCTTAAGAACTGAGCGTAAGTAAATTATTGTAAACAAGAATTATGCTAAGTCGGGAAAGATATGATGTAGTGCTACCTGAAATAAATCCTTTCTTTACATCCAATTGTCCTATCCTAAAAGAAAAAAGAGTGAATACCTAAAGAAGGGAACAAATAATTGCATCATTATAGCGAATTTAATCTTTGGTCTTATTTGTTAACAATAGGCCTTCGTTACCGGCGCAGCGGGCGGTGGAGTGTAGCCAACAGCCACTTTATTTTAAAAGCTTCATTTTTCTCTTAAACGAAGATGCTAACAAATAGAGTTCTTACAATCCATACCACCAACATCCTATTTGACGCGTTTTCATCATAAAAATTGCGGAAAGGACAATTTTATATCGGATTCCATTCTGATTTATGCTTACTCAGAAGGAAGGAAATGCCCAACCCTATGGCTCACGGCTACCAAGCGTAACAGAAAATATGAGACAATCCATGTCCATTTGAAGTAAAATGCTATAGAAAATTGAACAAAACTGACGAGCTTTGTATAAAAGTATTCTTCGCTCTCCAAAAATAAATAGCAATATTCACGCTCCATATACGAAGGCCGTTTTAAACTCATTTATAGGTCTATTGGATGTTAGCCGATTAGAAATTTACCCCGGGGTCACGGGGCACTTCTTCGTTGATATTATAATACAGCTATTAAGTCAGCACATTTCCAAACTAAACACAACGATGTAGATTGGCATCATTTATTTGTGTTACGCGTGTAAATACCAGTTATTACTCTGTAATGTTTATTTACACAACTCACATACACTGCGGGGTAGGTGTTTGTGTGCGGAATCCATCAATTAAAGACCGGACAAGTTTGGGCCGAATTAGGCGATGTGTCAATGTGACATCGGGAAGTGTCAACGCGTTACGGACAGTGACAGTTGTTTGTTTAGGCCCATGGCGCTTTTGAGATTGCTGTCGTTCTACAAAAACTTTACTGGTATTCTATTTTAAAAGGAATTATTCGTCAGTATCGCCTTACGTCGGTACAGGGCTCTGGCGTCGCGTCGCCTTTATTCGACAGATATTAGTTTTCCCTGCGCCATCTTTCACAGAGCTTTCCGCGAACGGCGCGCGCGTACTCATTAGTAAGAGTACGGTTACTTTTTGACTTACGTCGAGCTGATTGTTTGTTTTTGTGATTCTTGAAAACGAAAATTGGTGGCTTTTTCCCCTTTAAAAGAACAGTAAAGTCCACAAAATTTCGTTTCTTTTGAATTCACCGACATAGTACTAAAGGTACTTAAATACAAGTCGTTACAGGGATCTGTGTTATTTATGCCTAACACTCCCATTAGACAATAATTAATGCCTCCCTGAGAGTAAATGACAAAATTAATTTGACCCTAATTTACATAATACACGTCTACGATCGCTGGGATATGACAAAATCGCTTTATACACGTTGAAATTTCGTCGGATCTCAATCCGAGAGAGGGTGATTGTTCTCATTAAGCTTTTGTTCTGTAGCTTTTTGAAATTCGCCTTTAATGAATACTTTGAGTCGAGGCTAAGTTCGAACGAAAAAGGTACAATTGTGCATTTTTAACAAAAGCTAACTCTCGTAATTACAGTCCTTCAGCCGATCGACGTAACTTGTACCCTGTCATTACGAGAAGATCTGTTTGAACGTACTTACAATTTAAGAAAGAAAATAAATTCTGCGTTAGAAGTAAAACGACGCCAGCATTATATGGAAAATATTTGTGAATAGCTTTTAAAGATACCTTTAACATAAGCCCACAACATTAACAGACAACGTTCTCTTTGTGAATAGTAAATGGCCAAAAACCTCGGAATCATCAATCTGCGGAGCAGCAACTGTGGAAAATGGTGCGAGTAAAATACAAGACATGAAAAATCTCTTCGCTATTGGTCGACTGGATACAAATAGCTTTTATATAGTGGCCCGCTTTATAACCTGCAGAGTACCTACGCATTGGACCACGGGCCGTGGAAATCAATATCTCTGCTTCAATAGCAAACATTACCTATTCAAATGAACGACTAAAAATGATCCTGTAGTCGAGACTTCTCTTCGGAAGTCTGCTACTTTTAATTACATTTTCGTTTTGAACGAGATTTTTTGACGAGGATGTTTGTTTGGCTGCTAATTTCCTATATGTGTGTGCTTTACTGTACTAAGTAGCTAATGGTTTCTTTTATAAAAATTGTGAGACTTTTTAATCTTGTCAATATCCAATATTCGCTTTATTTCCTATTCCCTCAATTTGTCGCGGAGAACCTAACGGGTTACCGGAGCTCCGGCTCGACGTGTAGGAGAAGGAACGGAGTGGTTTTTAGTCAGTAAGAGTCTGACACTCCCTCCCGCCTCACCTAGGCGGGAGAAGTCATTCGATGATTTTCCCCCCTTACAAATAAAAAAAGACCCTATATCTTTTAATCCTTATAATCGAGTATTTGAACAGTATAAATCTGAATGTTGTTATTAATTGGTCGATGGTGGTAGTTAATCGAAACAATTTCAATCAAAACTTTATTAAGGAGTTTGGCGAACAATTTTTTCTAACTAAAAAGCCGATACTGGAGTAAAGTTACAGAACTCAATATTTCGGCAATCTTAAACTCTGAAACTGCTAAAGTCGACGAAATGTAGAAGATAAATTATTGTGTTAAGTACGGAACTAAATAAGAACGGAAATAATTTAAATTATTAAGGCTCAATCTCGTTTTAAGAACATTATGCATTAAAATCTTTGGATTTGACTAAGAAAGTTTTAGACAGGATTTAGGATATTAACTTTTGAAGAATACCTATTTAATTACTTTTTAGACCTACTGGAATCTTTGGTACTTTTGAATTTCAATGTAAGACTAATCAAACTATTTAAAATTCCACAACCAAATTAATCAGAAAAGCAACTTATAAACTAAAAAACTTGTGTACCCACAATAAAGATTTTAATGTTGTCTTGTTTTATTGTTGCAGGTGGAGGGGGGTGAGCGCGGGGTGCGCGGTGCGGGGGGATGCCCGTGCGCAAGGGGCTGCTCGCGCCCCAGAACACCTTCCTCGATACCATCGCCACTCGCTTCGATGGCACACGTAAGTCATACTCATACCTAATATTTAATATTATAATAGAAAACAACATACTGTAAGTAGACTAATGCCTCGTTGGCCGAGTGATCGCAAGTGCGACTACCGGGCAAGGGGTCTCGGGTTCGATTCCCGGATCGGGCAAAGTATTATTGGGTTTTAAAAAAAAATCAGTAGTAGCACGGAGTCTGGAATTGTGCCCGGGATATGACAATAGGCTCACCCCCTATTACATGGGACTCATTACATAAATAGTGAAAAGTGGGTGTTACATTATACAGTGGCATAATGTGCACCTCTGCCTACCCCTTCGGGGATAAAAAGGCGTGATGTTATGATGTTATGAAGTAAACAACATAATATACAACAACATACCTCATATATAATAGTTTAAGTAAAAATATGTCAACTGCAAGTTAGATTTTAACACACAGAATAAAACAAAACAGATTCTGTTTCGTTGTAATAAGATTCTATCTAGGTTATAAAAGTCTGGCAATGAACAGCTGCGGTATTTTAAATTAGTATCTATGAAAACGCCTTTTAAAGCCTTAAAAGTCAGGATTGATTGGAATAGTAATTGGAATAATAAAATGTACTTATGTGCTTATTAACTTCGATGAGGTGTACCTACTATAATAATAATAACACATGCTGAATGTTTTAGACTAGACTAACTACCACCATGTTACTTTAGTCTTTAAATAGTAATACTTAGGGTCTTTAGACTTATAACATTACCAAGTACTTAGTATTATATACCTATATACCTTTTATTTGTTAAAATAAAACTCAGGCCCACGCTAGGATTTTCTCCTATGTGTTCATTTCCAAATATATAATTTCACTTACACATGACACGCCGGAACAACAATTGATCGATCACACCAAGAGTTGTTCCGTGCGGGTATCGAACCCGCGACACGTTGCATGGCAGCCCAGCCACCGCGCCAACCGTACAGTAATTCAAAAAGATCGTGATATCTCTATAATTTCTCTCATACATATTTTCCCCATTTTCTCCACAGTAAAACGCTTAGCGCTCTTTATATTAAAAACCTTATTACATTTTAGATCATGTAGGTATGTACGTTACATATTGTTTACCTAAGTGCTGTTAGGTATAGCTTAAACCCTCCCTGTTATTATTTCAGAGCGCAGCCGACATTATGGTACAGCCACGGTTCAGTGCATTAATGAATTGATCGTTCTCTAGATTCGAGTAGTCTTTTGACCTTTAGAGGGTACCTAGACGTTGCGACTCGTGTAACATGTAGCTGTATTTCTAAATGTACTTTTGAACTAACTTATCTTGTAAGTTTTTTTTGGCATCAGCCCGTAAACGAGCAGACGGATCACCTGATGGTAAGCAATCGGCGTCGCCCATGGACACCTGGAACACCAGAGGCGATACAAGTGCGTTACCGGCCTTTTGGGGATTAGGAGTTTGAGGATCGTTGGGGATTCAGGAATTGGGGAGATTGGGCCTCCGGTAACCTCACTCACACGACGAAACACAGCGCAAGCGTTGCCTCACGTCGGTTTTCTGTGAGGCAGTGGTATATATGGTATACTTCGGTCGATTCGTGCCGAAGCCTGGCTCTCCCACACTAAAACGAACTTTAAGTAAAGTCTGAATGAACATAAGTCAGAACATATATCAGTGATAATACCGAAAACCAAGCACAGTTCCAAATACAATATAAGTGACTTATGGTACAAGCCAATGGTTCGTGTAAAGCAAACAGTTTTCCGTGTTATTGACTCAAAACCAGTGTTGATAGGAAAAGGCCAGAAAATGGACGTAACGAACAAACAGTGTTAAACACATAATGCCATTGGAAATTGCTTCGGCACCCTTGTATACTTCCACGTCACAAACCTGAACAAGTTGAACACCTTTATAATTGAACAAAACTTCCCTTTCTTCCTTTAAAAGTTTGTAACATTGTTACACCACTCACAATTCTATCTAATTTTCACTAAGACTTTTTATAAGATGAGATTTCCTGTTCAAACTTGGGCATTTACTCTAGAAAAATATCTCCGAGCTACATAAAACTGTTATTGTAATGAAATAAAGCAATTCCGGTAATATCCGCCTTGTGGAATAATACAAGAGGTGTTCCATTTCTGCTTAGTCTTGGGAGAATAGAAACGTGATGTGTTTAAACGTATTAGGTATCTAATTGTAGGTCGGGAGCGGCCATAACTGACATAACAATGTACGTAATTGTTACTGGTTGAACACGCAGACAGTGCATCTAAATCTACATTATCTCGTGAAGCCGTCGTGAGAGAACTACGTAATAATATAATTAACATTTTCATTCTAGTTAGAATAATGCGGTATAATGTATTGAAACGCAGTCATGTTTAGCGCAGCCGAGGAAATTAATCGATAAATTAATAAACACTGCATCGGACACTACTATATGGCTGTCTGTAAAGGTAAAATATTTACCTATTTTCTATTTTGAAGAAGCCTTGGATTAAAAATACCGAAATTAATTATATATATCATTGATGGTACAAGCGAGTGACAATTAGATACCTACTTATTTTTAACCGACTCCAAAAAGAAAAAAGGTTGTTCTCAGTTTGATCTATATATATGTTTGTATTGGCTGAACCGATTTTATTGCGATTTTCAGAAAACACTTGTTTTTTTTCTTTAAGGAAGAAAATCATCGAATGACTGCTCCCGCCTGGGTGAGGCGGGAGGGAGTGTCAGGCTCTTACTGACTAAAAACCACCCCGTTCCTTCTCCTGCATGTCGAACCGGAACCCCGGTTACCCATTAGGTTCTCTGCGACTACGAATCGGCATCGGCCCTGTGAGGCGCGCGCCGAACGCGACGCGCGTATTGGTATATTAACCGATTACAAAAAGGAGGTTGAAGCTTGAAGCACCGACTTCTTCGTTCTTTCTTCTTCTTTCATAAACTACGTTTAAAAAAACCGTTTTTCAAACGTAGTTTATGAAAGAATTATTCACATTTAAATATCTAACGCGACATAGGTTTCTACACAAAACGTCTTCCTGCCTAACCTAATGCTTTTCTATACCTCGTACCTAACAAATATGTTTTAGATGATCGGCTATTATTAAGGTTCTCAATTACTAAATTAGAGACACGTAGTCTGAAAATTTGTAATCGGGATCAATATTTAAAGTTATTTTTTCTAACTCGAACAATGAAAAGATCGTTGCTTATTGGCCAAGATATTTAATTCTATATAATTATGAACGAACTAACTAGTGCTACCTTCATATTTGAGAATAGTGCATTTAACCTTCCCAAGTTTACTTTGTACACAAGCAATAGTTTGCTATACTTCAGCAACTTTCAAAACAATGGCGCAAACGCAATTAGTTGTAGTTCTAACTTCGAAACAGTAAGGTTATGTTAGTTACTCGTAGAAGACTTAATATAACAAATTATTGCTAGACTCTAGGGTCTATGAACGTTCATAAAGTTCCAAAGGCTTGACGTGCAGGAGAAGGAACGGGGTGGTTTTTAGTCAGTAAGAATCTGACACTCCCTCCCGCCTCATCTAGGCGGGAGCAGTCATTCGATGATTTTCATACCTCAAAAAAAGAAATTGATATTTGGAATATTATTTATAAACTAAAATATTTATCTTAATAGTCTTTTGGAATAAAAGTTTATATCTTAGTACAAATCAAAAAATAATTCTTTTATAAAATAGGTTTAAATAACCTACTTCATTCCCCTCTTTTTTGTAATTAGTTACTTAACTGGAACCTTTCCCCTAAGTGTAATAAAAAAGTTTCTGAAAATCCCATCAAAATTGGTTCAGCCAAGTAAGATAATCGTTCATATTAATACATACAGTTCAATCTGTGAACCTCCTTTTTTGAAGTCGGTTAAAAATACACAATAACTTAGAAGAAAATTTACACAAAATGGTCAAATGAATTGGAAACTTTTAAAATCACAACGGTTTTACAGTTCCCTTAAACTGAAGGCGTGGTATGAATTATACTTATTCTGTTTTCTTGCTGCAAATGGTTCACAAGAGAACAAAACTTTACAAATAAAGAATTCTCAAACAGGAAGAAAAATGTAAAACGTCTAAATCTCATGCTTCCCTTATTTCTTTTCTCCTAAGCTCATTTCCTGCACAATTATCATGGTTGGCAAATAGGGCGTTAGTACAGATGCCAGCTGCAGGTCAAGTTACTCCAGTCTTTTAATTTTTTTATTAGATTTTCGACCTTACGTCAATATAACTTTAAAGTTAAAAATCTAACGACAGGAAGGACTACGTTGATCAGCTTGGCACGCCAGTACACAAAATATGCAATTTGTATACTGAACATTGTCCTTTATTTTTTCAGTTTTCCTTAAAACACTTCCGTCTAAAGTTTATTCAAGAAAACGAGTTTAAATATTTAAAGGAATCTTGTTGTTTAAGATTTCTTTAAAGAACGCTTTTTGTTGTCCTTATATTATTTCCTCCTTTACAAATTGTTGTAGCGTTATTTTAATGAAATCCTTTTTTCAATTTTTAAGTAGAAAATCCACTGGGAATGGGTTATATTTAAGCAGCAAAATGAGCGAAAAATTATGTTGGTATTTATTTTAAAAATGTAATAAAACAACGAGGGTTTTGAAATTTTAATAGACTTATCATAATTTGATATTTTCCTCATTATCTTTACAACATTATTTGTCCGAACATACTTAAAATAAACTATGTAGCTGTGTAGATTCATTAGATACATTTTTACAACATAATCAAATTCCGTAGAATTCCTTCAACTATTGGAAAATCGTCCAATCTCTCCCAATGTAAATATATCTACTTCGGAGAGTAAGTCTAGCTATTTCGAGTAGTTTCCAGTTACGTACGTCGCTGGTCTACCAAAATGTTTGCATTACCTACAATGCTCTCCTAGACGATGAGTTTATTTAGCCAAACACATGCACATCAAACTCACCCAAACTGCCACCAAAGCCCTTTATTAAACTTTCAACT